AGCCGGCTAGCTTCAGGCTGTTCTCTCCCTAGAAGCTGCTTCCACTCCCGAATAAACCACGATGTGGCTTTTATGCGTCTCATTAAACACAGCCTACATCACAGCTGTGCTTTACGGGCCTAAGGGTTATTAGTTTTCCAGGCACCTAATCCAGAAGACATTTGGAAAGTGACCTGAAGGTCTTCATGAAAATGTGCCCAGGATAAAATACTTTCAAGAGTCCTGTGGGGGTTGTTCAAGAAAGCCAATGTCTACACACCTACCACCTGCTTCCTATTCTATCAAATGAGTATTTTGTAATGAGGAAGAGCCTAGCAAACCCATCTCTGCCCCGACCACTTTACAGTCCATGTCGCAGCCTCATTTGCACAAGCACTTTGTCAGTCTGGCTCGAGGAGGTGAGGGCAAACCACCTCTGGCACCAACACTCACACTTGGCAGGGAAGCACCTGGCAGTATGGAGCTGCCCTGGGTAACAGCCACTGACCCCACCCCTCCTTTGGACTGTTACATAACAAGCACTGCCCCACCCCTCCCCCAGGTACCAGAGCATTGCATCTACTGCCCTGCAAAACACTTAGGGACAATCTGGGGATTCCTGCGAAGGAACAATGATAGCGTGCCACCCAGAGCGCTGCAGACTGTCTCACCTGAGGGCTCCCATTGACGGCCAGACACTAAACCTTGGGTGAGACTGGATCCAAAGACATGATGTGTGGAAGGAGCCAGACGCCAACAAGTACAGGCCATACATTCTACCCATGTAAAAACAAACTGAACCGTAAGCAAAGCCAACCTACAGCAAGGACAGAAGTCAAAAGCATTTGATGATCTTGGATGATGGGTATTGATTAGAAAAGAAGGCAGGGACCCCTCATGGAGCTTAACATTCTGTTTCTTCATCTTGGTAGTTGTTTTACAGGTGAAAAAAAATGCTGAAAACTCCATCAAGTTCTAGAACTCAGATATGTCTTCATTTTACCATGTGAGGTTATGCCTTAAAAGAAAAAGTTAATTTAAGATTTAAGTTTTATCTTCTTTTTTTTTGGTGGGGGGAGGTTTTGAGACAGGTTTCTCTATGTAGCTTTGGTGCCTGCCCTGGATCTCACTCTGTAGACCAGACTGGCCTCAAACTCACAGAGATCCACCTGGCTCTGCCTCCCTAGTGCTGGGATTAAAGGTGTGCGCCACCACCGCCCGGCTTATCTTTATTTTTTACCATGTGTATGTGGGGGTGGGGGGGAGGGAAGCATAGGCACACTGCAGGCACAGGACCCTGTGGAGGCCAGAAGAGAGCACTGGACCTCCTAGAGCTGCAGTAGCAGGTGATCATGCACCATCCCCTGAGGATGCTGGGAACCGAACTCAGGTCCTCTGCAAGAGCAGCACATGCTCTTAACCAATGAGCTATCACTCCAGGCCAGTAAGATTAAATTTAAAATGTTACATGGGAATCCTCTGATGATGAGAACATATGCTTCTGTCTTTTCCATTAGCATGAGCTTATCAGAGAGTCTGTGAATTGCATGTTTGTCAATAATATGGCCAGCAGTAACCATTGCTCAAACCAAATGCTCACGTGTGCAAGGAGAAATGCATGCATGATCACCTTGAAGTACTTAGACAATCTCCAGAAAAATGCTATCACCAATGTTTCCACTCCAATGAAGACAGACCAATAGGCAGAGAAGCAACGTGCCCAAAGTCACGTAAACAAAATGGCCAAACTGACGTTCAACCTCCAACCTAAACCAGTCCAGCCCTGGGGCTTGCCTTCTTGACTGGTTTCAATGTTTGTTCTTACAGCCATAAGACAAAGGTTTGGGTCTGTTTACTGGGAGGTTGACATTGTTTGATGGCATCATCTTTCCCACAGCCCCAGAGAAGCTCTTGGACATCACAGTGCAACCTGAATATTGAGCAGGAAGAGGGGAGAGGAGTGCTGGGGATGGACTAAGAGGGCCCAGGATTAAACCTTGACATCCATTCGGAAGATACAACTAATTCTCAAGAGCCTGCTTTCCTCGCCTTTAGTGGAGGAGGGTGGGTGTGACCATTGCTTGTTTTTGATCTCGTCCTTTTCCCTTCAAAGAAGCATAATGTGGAGGTAACACAAAGTGGTTTTTACATGCCAGTCACCGGGCCTTTGGAACAATGTGTCTGCAGTAAAATCTCCACAGTGCACACACTTCTAGGAGCTGCTTTAGAACATTTGAAAAATGAACAGGGGCTAGTTTACTTCCTCCTCTTCTCTAGCTTTTATATTGTTGTTTTACTATGTATAATGTATCTGTGGAATCTGGAGAAGGCATTAGAGGCTCCTTAATTATAAAATACATAGCTACTTACTCCAGACATCTGCTTTATTCTTAGTGTTTCTCACTTGGTTTCTCTGAAGCTCTCATTTGAAAAGTGTTAGAGCATTGATTTCTGGCTTAGAGGGAGCTAGAAGCTACAGACCTTTTAAAGACCCATAGCATAGAAAGGCAGAATATAGGTTAATGCTATGTGAGTCTTACTGGGACCAGCCCCAAATGACTGGACTAGCGATATGAATCCACAATTAACCTGGCTCAGCCCGGCTCCCATGAACATATTGTTTTGGGGACCTTGGAGAAGTGATTGAATGTTGAACTTTTCAGTTAAAAACTTCGGTCTTGTCTCACCACACCCCAGTGAACTGGGCATCTCTATAGCAATAGGCAGTCTGCTGTGGCACAGTCCTGACCCTCATTCCCCACCCCAGAGGTAGAACTAAATTCACCAAGGGTAGGTAATTTGGTAACAGTCCCAAGGATTGAGGATATAGAGTCCTGGGCAAAAGGCTTCCCTACCTGCCCCCTCTGCTCCAGGCTCTCGTTTGTACCAGCCTGTCACACTAGGTGAGACTCCAGTCCCCAGTGTGTCACACTAGGTGAGACTCCAGTCCTCAGTGTGTCACACTAGGTGAGACTCCAGTCCTCAGTGTGTCACACTAGGTGAGACTCCAGTCCCCAGTGTGTCACACTAGGTGAGACTCCAGTCCCGAGTGTGTCACACTAGGTGAGACTCCAGTCCCCAGTGTATCACACTAGGTGAGACTCCAGTCCCCATTCTACCAACAGCCCAGTCCAGGCCCGGCCAGCCCGAGAGCTGATCCTGCCCCCTATAGTCCCATCTCATACGCATGTCAATAGATCAAGTCTCTCAAGAGTTTCTCCTCCTGAGGGATGTCATCCTAGGTCCACCTAAACCAACCACAGGGTGCTGGCCTTTGACCACACAGCTGAAGACAAGACGGCTGGTCCCAAAACATCAGCCATCCCCCTCCATGCCATCGTGTGCCATGACAAAGTGATCGTGACCAGCTCTTCATCTCTGCTTGGGTCTTTAGGTGCCAGAAGCTACCCAGGTGCCATGTGGGTTTAAATCTCCACCCCCTGTTTTCTGGCACTGCTCCTAGAATTCTGGTATTCATCTCTAAACCTCTGCCCTTTGGAGAGCTGGCATTCTAGGTCACAGTTTGGGGATGATCCCAAAGACCTGTCTAATCTGAACTGTTAACACTGTGAATTGAGTTTGAAAAGAATCACAGCTGAGTGTCCAGTTTCCACATCATAGCCAAGCATGGTTCAATTCTCTGGTTAGCCTTTGTGGAGTGATTTCTCACACACACACACACACACACACACACACACACACACACACACACTGCACATTGGCTTTTAAAGTCTAAGAAATGGGCTTAGAAAATTAAGGTGCTGGTGCTCCTGAAAGAAGTTGTGGGGAGCACAGAGGTCCATGAGCTCACAGATAAGTGCTAGGGAAACCAGGAATGTTAAACACACAGGATTGTTTCTTCAAGGGAGAGATGCATAACCTGTTTTCCATCCAGAAGGCTGGGAATGGAGGTGGTTAACAGCCTGGTGATCTGCACTATCTGTAGGGCCAGGCTATGCCATGCTTCCACAAGCAGAACTAAAGGTGGCTAATAGTCTAGGTGACATTTGTTATCAATATGGCCAGGAGCTCCCCAAACTCCCACAACCAGGATTGGAGGTGGCTAATAGACCAGATGATTTTTATGCTATCTGTATGACCTATATAACACCTAGGCCCTTAAGATAACAAATGCACCCTGTATCTATTTCTAGAACCCATCTTCATGGAAGAAGTAACATGTACTTTGAGAAGCATTTCAATGTATGCCTCCTTGTGCACACAGGATTGTGTTACACCAGGAAACTTCTTTCCAAATTGTACTATCTTAAATATGCCTAAAACAAACTGCCTGGTGTCAGACTCTGGGAGCTTGAACCAACACAGTCTTGCCTCACGTGGATCAGTACTCTGCTGGCTGCAGCATTGGCAGAGACACCCATGAGAAATGAAGTGAAAACTAAGAGGACCAAGGAGCAAGTCTATGCATTCAGAATCTCCAGATAGTTCTCTCTGGGAGAATAAATTTAATATAGCTAAAACACCTCTTCTGAGAGAAACACAAGTCATTCTTGAGCCAGTGTTCTGGGCAGAGCCAACATGCACACAGGGCAGGAAGTCCACTGTAGCCAGCAGCCTCAGGCCCCAACAGGGTGTCAAGGGTCTGTTATATTAGTACTGCCCAGAGGAACATAATGTAGTATTGTGCAGACACTGTGTGTGCAATGTGTATCTGTTTGGGCACCTGTGTTCCTGTGAAGGCCAGAGGAGACCGACTGTCCTCCTCCATCACTTTCTATCTTAGTCCCTTGAGACAGTCTCCCACTGAATTGGGAGCTCGGGTTGAACCTTCTCGGCTGACCTCCAACAAGCCTCATTGATTGGCCTGTCCTGCACTGGGCTTCCGGGCACACGCAACTACACAAAGCTTTCTGTGTGGACGCTGCTGGAGCCGAACTCAAGTTCTCATGCTCGCACAGCAAGCGAGCACTCTTCCACACTGAGCCTCTCCCAGGCCTTTGCCAGCATTTCTGGGACAGGAGAGGCAGAGCCCGCGATGGGTCTCTTTATAGTGTCCTTACCTGGTCATCATAGCGATACGTGAGGAACTGTTCCCCGGTGGTGTCTTCAAGGAAGCTTCCCTGAGGGGAGAGTGCAAACTCAGGAAGGAAGTAGGCTCCAGGAGACTTCTCTGCTGTGGCCTGAAAGGCAAGGTCATTTGGTCACAAAGGAGACACTGAGAAGGATTCTCTAAGTGTCCAAAAAGAGCCCACTATAAACACTCTCCTACCAAGAAGAGAGAAGTGGCCTCTGAGCAAGGAGCAAGGTGAGGCACATCAGACGTCAGTGCTGGGATGCTTCAGACTGGGATATTCCCAACTGGCACGCATGGCCCTTTCTCCTCCACCCCCCTCACCCACCCCCCCACCTCCCTCTGTGTTCTACCTTCCAGCAGTAGAGGCACACATAACCCTTAATTGCTCAAGTTTTATGATTGCAAATCCGTTGCTTTTAGGATTTTCTTTTCCTTTGAAAACAAATTTGTCTTATTCTTATGTGCATGCCTCCTGTCTGTATGTATGGATGTATGCCGCTCATATATAGGTGCCCGATGCCTATCTGTGTGAATGTGTGCTACACCTATGTAGGTACTCCAGAGCCTGTCTGTCTGTTATGTCATGTGTATGGAGGAACCTCAGGAGGCCAGAAAGGGGCATCAGATCCCCTGGGGAGGGCGTAACAGGCAGTTGTCAGCCCTGTTACTAACATGGAGATGGGAGCTGGACTCCGGCCCCTAGGAGAACAGCAAGCATTGGAAACTGCTGCTCCACCTCTCCAACACTCTGGATTGATTTTCTTTCATTCTTTCACTCCTTCCTTCTTCCTTGCCTTTCTTTATTCCATCTTTTTCTTTTTTATGTGAAAGATTGGGGAAGTTTTTTCCCACACTGCAAACAAGCTGTGTGCTCATCACAGGAACTTTAGAAAATACAGGCTGCTCTAAAAGACAAGGAAAAGTCACCCACAATCCCTGAAACCCATAATAACAACTTTTAAGGATGTTACCATATTTCCTTTGAGGCTTCTTTTTCATTCCTCACAGTACTTTGTATGTTTTCATAAGGATCCATGCTTAAATAAACCCATTCCACAGGTTTATTTGTTCACAGGTTTAAGGTTTGAGACACTGGCGAAGAGCAAAGTAAGCTAAATGCTCCTCAACCTCTCTGAGCTATCAGGTTTTCACCCCAGCCTCTGCCTCCCAAGTCTCATTGATAAATAAAACCTGAGAAGCAGCCCAGCAACTGTGAAGCTGAAATTATTGGCTGAAACAGCAGTAGATATATACCAATCAATAAAATTTCCCACAGACCCACCCAGGAACCAATCTGATGGAGGCAAATCCTCAGCTGAGGCTCCCTGTCCCAAATGACTCCAGCTTGTGTCAAGTTGGAAAACATGAACCAAAAGGTCAACTAACATAATAACTATATTTTATTAAATTTTAATTATTGTATGTGTGTATATGAATGAGCATACATATGCCACAACATGAATGTGGAATTCAGAGGACAGCATTTTGGAGTCAGTACTCTCTTGGGTCTTGGGGATCTAATTTAGGTTGTTAGCCTTGGCAATAAGCATTGTTGCCCACTGAGTCCTCCCTCCAATACCGTATTCTCATTTGTTTCTATTAGCTTCAGAATCCATAGAGGCAGGATTCTGAAAGTCACAAGAGCCCTTAGAAGTCATCTAGGCCCAAACTCTTACTTTACAAATGGATAAGAAAAGCCTTTGCATGTACATCACCATGAAGCCAGTCCTAAGTCAGAGCTGGAACATCTTCAGCCTTGAGCAAAGCATGGAGAGATCTGTAGTGGGTAGCCATTCCAGCTTTGGTCTGGAAGTTCCAACCCCCATTGAGGCTTCGGTAATGGTCACGCCTACAAGGCGGGGCCAGAGAGGGCCCTGAAGACCCGAGATCCAGATGCGCCACCCTCTCTTGGTTCCTGGACCCTGGACGCTAGAGGGAGACCCAACAGAGTTCTCCAGAGAACACCGCTGGACTGCACTACGTCTTCCCCAGACCCTGTAGCCTATCCCTTCATTTGTAAGTTACCCCACAAAATAAACGCCCCTTTTAACTACGTGTAGTGGCCTTAATAATTTCACCAACAGAGATCCATTCAGCTGACCATTCAGTCAGTATATTCAGGACCTCTCAATGCCTGGCACAGTTCTTAGTGATGTGAAAACCATGAGAAACATGGTGGTTAAGGTCTCTATTATCATGGAAGTTAGCTTTTTAGTGGAGAAGATACATTAAAAAATAAGTAAGCAAACAAAAAATTAAAGTTGTGTTATAAAATAAATACCCAGGGTGAGATGGCAATAGATAAAAGGATGTTGGATTTTAAAGATGAATTCAGGACAGCAAAACATGCCTGAAAAGATATTTGTCTACTTCCTAAAGCAGAGATAGAAGTAGCATGCAAAAAAAACCAAGATTATATATTTTGGCCAGATAAAGAGCAATACTCAAAACCCTCACTTGGAAAGGAAGTCAATGGACTTGAGGTACAGAGAGGATGGCAGTGTGGCTGGATGCAGTGTGGACCAGGAAGAGAGGGGCATGTGATGGAGATCAGGAGGAAGGAAGATACAGGCCATCAAAACCTTGCAGTCCACCAGCAAAAGGATGGAGAACCACAGGTGAGCATTTGAACACTGACTAGTCTGTGGAGAACGGGATAGAGGAGGCAAAATAGACTCATCAAGACTAGCTAGAAGCTGTGGAAACAAACCCAAGCAAGAAATTGTGTCTCCTCGGGCTGGAATCATCCTTTCAATGAGAAGGAGCCAACCACACATGCTGAAGAGGAAGGGATCAGAGCGTGAACATCCCAGGATCTCCACTCTTTTCCTCTCCCTCCCCCTCATCACTGCTCTGGGGTCTGGCTTGACCAGCTACCTGGAAAGGAACTCAGTGGTGGGTGGTCCTGAGACAAGACCATCTGTAGGAAAGAATGGCACCTAAATAGTGCTGTTTGGCTCATGGTAAGTTGGGAAGGTCCACGCATGTAGAAAGCCTGAGGCAGCTGCTGCACATGCAAGACTGGAACTCAGAAAAGAGATTTGGAAGTCATTGCTTAAATTTACACACACACACACACACACACACACACACACACACACACACACACAAACATACTTAAAAAATGTGTCAACCCAAAGAAAATAAAAGATAATCGTATTATTGTGGGCCAAGTTTGAATAACCATAGCCCAAGAAAACACAAATCAAGGCATGTTCCAAATTGTTGGTGATAATACCAGGTGGATGAAGTACCCTAAAGTGGTGAAATGTCTGCTCTATTATCTGATGCCGTCCATTCTCAGCTTTGGGGTTGGTGGAAGGTTTGCTTGATAGTTAAAGATATGTCAGGTCTGACACAAGTGGGCAACAGAAGGACTGTTAAGAGACTAACAACAGCACAAGGTAATTTGGCTCTAGATCTGCAACATTCTAACTCTCCACAATCAGGAAATGCTCATCAGTCAGTCAGTCTTGCAGAATCCTTAGCTTTTTTCTAGGAACTTTAGTTCACAGAAGGAAGCAGGGTGGGATCTGAATAGTATCAGAGTTTTGACTCTGGACCTCCACTAATACCTCAGATACCTGCTTGTGCATGAGAAGACGCCTGCCTCCAGGGTCATTCATCTGTCTCCATCACTCCCTGCCTCCTGTGCAACTTTCTTCCCACTGAGTACATGTCTCTCCTGGGCTCCTAGGCAGCCCGCCCATGTGATGAAAAGGACTGTCCTCGTCCGGCAGTGGTGGTGCACGCCTTTAATCCCAGCACTCGGGAGGCAGAGACAGGCGGATCTCTGTGAGTTCGAGACCAGCCTGGTCTACAAAGTGAGTTCCAGGAAAGGCACAAAGCTAAACAGAGAAACCTTGTCTCAAAAAACTCCTCCAGTCTCTATTAGCACATCCCTCTGCAGCCAGAGTATTTGTCTGCCCATTGTGTCCCTATAGTATCAGGAAACTAATCACAAACCCTTCCAAGCTCTAATGAGCTATTTTTGTGTCTTCTTTAACTCCAACTAGGGAAACTCCTGAGGCATCCTCTCCCTTGCAAGGCCCATCTTGGTGCTGTACACTAGAGCTCCTGCTTTAAAATCTGAGGACAGTAACTCCATAGAGTCTGCACTCTACACAGCCAGCTGTCTAGCCTAATTGGTGAGCTCAAGGTCAATGACAGACCATGTCTCAAAGGAGATGAACTGAATTCATGAGGATGACACTCAAGGCTGTTCTCCATACATATATGACACATGTATACATACATACAAACATGTGCATCATACATTCATATGTGCATGTATGCATAAATAAATGCATGCATACATACATGCATGTGTGCATACACACATTTTTTAATTACAAAGAATGAACTTTTAATATGCAGCAAGTAACGTTGCATAAATATCAGGCTAAATTGTCAGAGCTTTAGTATAGTTTCCAATCAGTGATGCTGGTCAACTCAGCAGCACCCTTTGTAGAGAACAATTTTTTTTAACTTTCGAATGCATTATTTTCTAGTTCATGGCAGAAAATGATCTCTATTGTGTCAAATTAATAGTAGTTAGTAGTCAGTTGTATGGTAGACACAGGAAAGTTCTGTACATCTGCTGTGGGATGTTCTGTATGACAAATGTGTTGCTCTGATTGGTTAATAAATAAAACACTGATTGGCCAGTAGACAGACAGGAAATATAGGCAGGACTAACAGAGAGGAGAATTGAAGGGACAGGAAGGCAGAGGGAGAGACGGCAGCTGCCACCAGGACAAGGAAGAGCCACGTGCAAAGTATAAATTAATAGAAATGGGCTAAATATAAGAGTAAGAGCTAGACAATCATAGGCCTAAACTAATAGCCAAGCAGTTTAAATAATATAAGCATCTGTATGTTTATTCTATAAGTGGGCTAAGGGACTGCCGGGGGTTGGCGGGACCTGGAAAGAAAACTCTCCAGCTACAAATGGCGCCCAACGTGGGGCAAGAGTTTCCACCTAAAACCTGAGAAAAAAAGATTCTAAAACGGAGCTAAAAACAGTTCCTAGTTGTTTCTCTCAAGTTAGTGGCAACCTGCATGTTTGAGCTACTATGGCAGGTTCCTGGCGTGCGTGCTTGGCCT